TCGGATCGAGTTACGTAGGGTTGTGGAACCTACCGTCGACCTTTGATCGACAATTGACTTTTGGTCAATGGGTTACAAATCATTCTAGAACGTCATTGTGGATGTGTTTTATGTAAGTTACGTGTTCTATCGATAACAATATGAAACGTGATTGATTTTTTTTCGAGGCGACGATTGTTCGTAACTCTTCGATATTCGTGCTAAAGAGTTGTAGCACGGACTTCAGGTGAGTGGGTCTTTTCTTTTATATAGTATATACGTATTTATTAGTTTTCATTTATACATTGAAAGAGAATTTACTACGTATGTCTAGCTTAGACTAATGCTTATAAGAATTAGCGAAATAACATAAAATTATGAAGTGATTATAAATCCTACGAGATGCACATGTATGCGTATGTTTATTGATGCCATGATTATACCTATGGCTATGAATGATATTATGTGATTAGAACTATCGAACCACTATGGCATTACTATATTTATGTTTTATGCTTATTGTTTACTGCACCGGTGTTAGTGCTTGCCCAAGGCTATGGCTAGTCTTTCACATGTATGTTCACTTCCGCATCGCACGCTTTTTGGATCCAAGTAGGTGCCAGTCCTGTTGTACAAGTTGTATTAGGCAACTCCGACTCATATGTGATCTTGAATAACACCAGTTTTCACGTGATTGTAGCACTAGAGCATATATCATTATTACACCCAGTCCTGTTCATGTCAGAATAACTCTGCATGAACTCGTGTGTCAGCATGTGTTGAGCACTTGGTTTGATATGTTTTCTTATGCGAAAGTATACGATTACTGACGTCGTGCATTTATATATGAACTATTGTGCCATATTGATATCTTGATATTTTGCAAGCTACGATGAGTATTTTCATACTACATGTAGTATGTATATCTTGGAAATTATACATGTTTTACGGTGAGGGGTTATAACATTTTCAAAGGTTTTTATTGAAACTTTATTTTCAGGCCCACTCACCCTTGTTTTTCACCCCTCCAAGTTTTAGTAGCTGAGCTTTATTGATGAGAATTCTTGGTAAATCTTGGTATAGATGATTACCTTCGATGGTATAATTCTCACCCTATCTTACTGTACTGTACTACTTATGCTCTGACATCACGTGTGAAATGGGTTCATTCCCGCTCATAGCGCACTCTTATATTTAGGCACTTTTAGGTTTAAATTTATTCACATATTCCACCACACTACATTTTATGGCTTCGTCACCTTCCAGGTGTCGGCCAGCATAGCTCGATTCAAGATCCAAGTGGACATTTCGGGTCGGGGTGTGTCAAGGAGGGCAATCTTATTCTTGGTTTACCAATAAGTTTAGTGGGGTGTAAGGATAGAGTCATATGACATTATTCTAGAAACGGGGATTATACCGTTCGTACGGGGTATGGAGTTGCCATAGAGATGCAAGAAAATGGGGAACTTGGTAGGAAAGGGACGGGGGGTAGTAGTAGGCGGGACATGGTTGACCGTTGTTGGCAGGATGTTTGGAGGTTGGTAGTGCCAAATAAAATGAAGTTTTTTTATTTGGCATTGCTGCAATCTTCTCCGATGACGAATGTGTACGGAGAGTTCTTGTGTTATGTGTGGAGCAGCGGAGGAGACGGAGCAGCACTTGTTTTTTAATGTTATTTTAGCCGTGTGTTGTGGTACTGCTGCTCTTTATAGCTAGACATGAAGTCTATAACGAGGCAAGATTTTCATGGGTCTTGGCAAGGGTTATGTGCTCGATTTTGTGATGAAGATAGGCAAAAGGAGCTTCTGCAGGAGTGTATTTTTATTATGTGGCGAATTTTGGATGAGTCAAAATGAGATGGTGTTTAAAGGAGTGTTGACTAATCCCATGGAGGGGGTTAATTTGGTGAGGCATCAACTTATTGAATTCAGAGCATGCCATAATTCTAAGAAGCAAGTTGTTGTCTTTATTAAGCATACAAGTCAGCAATACAGTTAGCAATACAGTTAGTAAGTTGGTTAGAGTAGTTAGGCTTTCTCTTATAAAAATAGTTGTGTAACCTTCATTCAATGAGTCAATACAAAAGCATATTTCTCTTCCTAAATCTCTCTTTCTCTCTCTAACTCTCTGTGTTCATATTTCCTCTCTTCATCTTTCTTCTTGATTTTCTCTTCAATTCCCAAACATTACAATGTAGTTAACAGTCTTTTGTGAGGAAGGTGATGGAGCTATCTTTGCTGGACAATCAGTTCGATGGAGGCAGCTTAACTATGGTGTGACGGTGCATGGTGTGGGAAGACACTCAAAGGAGGATATGGGTAGGTTATGAGGGACTTTGCTGGATTGCTGCAAGCGGCAGGTGGGGAATGAGGCCTATTTTTCAATAATGGGGCGATGGCAGAAGTTGTTGCGATTCGTGTGGCATTAATGGTATGTATTGAGATGGGTTGTGATGAAGTGGAGGTTGAGTCTGACTCTCAGGTGATAATTAGTATGCTTGATGGGGAGTATGTGGTAGATGCTACTTTGGAGTGTTAAATCCATGATATTGGTCATTTGGCATGCAAGAAGTGGGAAAGAGTATCCGTCAGCGTCAACTCTCAAGTCTCATCAACCAACCTGACGCTTCAAGTTCCGGCTTCTCTCTCACTCTCAAATCTCATTCATCAGCCATCAGAAATGAGTGCCGGAGAAGGTCGAAAGCGGCCAAGGAAATCCTCAGAAATGAGTGCCGGAGAAGATACTTCTTCAGACAAGGACAAGGGCAGTTTGGGTAACCCAAATGATGGATTAACAAAAGGGGGAATCGAGGAGGAGAAGAAGCGACTTAGTCACGAGGTATTACCAGCAGATGACAAGCAGTTTGAAACTGTTTACCGGCGACGGCTTAGTATGAACGATAAACATCACAAGGAGAAAAAACCAAAAGGAAGAAGTACTTAAATTTCTAACTTCCTGTTATTAATTTTGCGTTTAGTTAATTTGTTTTCATTAGTTTTATGTGTGAATTTCAATAATATTTTGAATTATGAGCCCTAAACCCTAATGTTTTTGGTTTTTTTTTTACAGTGGAATGAGGAAGACGACTCTTTATTGTGCCACTGCCATCAGTGTAAGAGGAATGATAAGGGCAGGTTGTTTGGTGCAGAACTTGTAAAACAAATCGATTTTGTATCCCTTGCGTAAAAAAGTGGTAGGCATAAATATGTTTGCTCCAATCTTGCTGATTATTTGCTTATTTGAGACTAATTACAAATCTGTAAGAAAAATGTTGGTAAATTGACTGAGTACTGAGCTGGGCTAAGACCTCCTGCATGCTACTAGTCCATTCGTATTCACGTACAAAAACCCTAGGAAGAGGTGATTAGTCTTAGAGAGAGTGTTTGAGTAGGGAGATAAAAACACTTTTCTAATTATGGGAGAGTGGAGAGCATGAAAGTATGTAGAATTAGTGATTTCCAATGCTTCTATTTGGTTTGTTAAGTTCTTATGCGCAAACACGCGATTTGGACTCGATCTTTTACTCTAATTAGGAGTCATGGCGCAAACTCTTTAAACTATTCTCACTATCAGAACATGGGATCAAATTTTATCCAACTTATTAATTATAACAAGTACAATCCATGTAGACATGTCCTGGAATGTGTATGCGGAATTAAATTAATGTCCACAAAGTTGTCTTTGAATAAGCCCCAAGTTCTCGCTCACTTTTGCCCTTATAATTCTTACTATATCTCATTTTCCATAAAAAGTATTTTCTTCTACTGCAGTTAATTGATTGCTGAATATTTGTTAACAAAGGTTTTTGAAATAAAGTATTAATGGATATCGATGGAACCGGGGGTATGTTAGGACGGATATAGTCTGTGAGGTTTCTTTGTATGCGTAATTAATGTAAAACTCCAAATATTTTGAATTGATATATGGACTTTTGTTTAAATAGTTTTTATGATTGCTTATTATCAAGTTTTGTATTGTCCAGGTATCCTCATATGTCGGAGGAAGCCATTGCTGAAGCTTGTCCTATATGCCTTGGAAATTGCAATTGCAAAGCATGCTTACGTTTAGAAAAGGTTTAGGTCAGTTTATTTTTCTTGTGCACATCTCCTGGATTTTTACTTGTTTGTTACTTAAGTGGAAGTTTGACAAAAAGTTTTATGGTTTGTATGGTTGAAGTTGAAGAATCTGTTGGAATTTCACATTTGCAAAGATGACGCAGTTGAGCACTCTAAGTATTTACTTCAAGCATTGCTTCCATTCTTCAAAAGACTTAATGATGAACAAATGATTGAGATTGAGATTGAGGCTAGGAGACAAGGTATAGTTCTGTGGCAGACATGTGTTGGAACTCATCAGATTGTCGGTCACTAGCTAAAAAAGTTTGCTCTCTATATCCTAACAAAGATTTCATGATAGTTAGGGATATTACCGGTGTTAGTTTTAGAACTTAACCCTTTCTCACATCTCATCAGGTTTTTCTTTGGAACTTAAGATGAGATGGGTGCATTGTTGTCACTAGTGTCACTTGTGGAATACAATTTCAAGTTTTCAGTTAAATCAATGTTTGTATCTGTCTACATTGTCAATATCTTTTCTAGAAAAAGTTTTAACTAAATAATTTTGAACTAACTACTATAATTAACTTAAACTTATAGCTAAATGATAAGTTGGATTTAATTTGAGAGTGATTGTGTTTTATGTGAAAACAATGGATGAATATGAGTCCTATATGTAGTTCTTTTTTCTTCTTATGATTCATTTGTCATTCACATTCTGAAATCATTTGATATTCTCGATTGTTCACCAAATATGAATTGAACCTTTTTCTTTGTTTTAATTTTCTTTTCGGATGTTTTGGGACAGGGAAACCTATTTCAGAGCTAAAGATACTAAGGTCAGATTGCCCCGAGGATGATCGTATATATTGGTAGAGCCCTTACCATTATCATATTCTATTTTAAATTTGTTCTTCCTATTAAGCATTCAAGATTAACTTTTTTGTTTTCTTTTTCAGCAACAACTCAAAACTTCTATTTTTGGATTTTCACAGAAGCTGCCCTAAATGTTCCTATGATCTTTGCCTCACCTGTTGCCGGGAGATTCGAGATGGACACCTGCAGGGAGGTGCAGATGAAATGAGTATGAATATCAATTGGGGCTTGAGCTATTGACATGCTGGAAAAGGGAATATTGCAGAAGTGCCTTCTGAAACTAGCACCAAGTGTCGTGCATGGCCGAAATCTGAGTGGAAAGCAAATTTAGATGGGAGTGTTCTTTGCCCTCCGAAGGACATGGGTGCTTGTGGTTGTACTCTTTTAGAATTGAGATGCATGTTTTCTGAAAGCCACATTAGCCAGTTGGTAAAAAAAGCAGAAGAAATTGTTGAAACACATCAACGCATGCATGTGTCTGGAACTTCTGCACAACAGCGTTGCAACTCTCTGGGTATCCTTGACGCGATCAGCAATAAGTTAAGGAAAGCAGCTTCTCGAGAGGGATCTGATGAAAACTTTTTATACCGTCCAAGAGGTAAAGACATCCAACCGGAGGATTTAAAGCATTTTCAATGTCATTGGATCCAGGGAGAACCTGTGATTGTAACTAGTGTCCTTGAAATTGCATTAGGTTTAAGCTGGGAACCACAGGTCATGTGGAGCGCTTGTCGTCAGACGCGACATGCTAAGCGGGATAGACATATCGAAGTGAATGCCATTAATTGTTTGGATTGGTGTCATGTCCGTTATTCTGACTTTGAATTGCTCAGTACTGTTTGTAGTTTTGTCTTCAATTGATTACTACTTTTGGTCATTATGATTTTCTTATTTTGTTCCACTTTTTAAAGCTGTAATGAGAGAATGTTAAGAAGAAATATATGTACCAGTCTGGTCAGTTCAGGTGGATGTTGTGATCGCAAAAGTTTCCCTTTGTGATAGATTTAGTATTGATGTCAACACTAACATGATACTATCGTCTGTGTACATTTTAGGTAGGATTATGTGTTTGTATAATATACATACATATGTCGTCTGGTAATTAATTGTTAAATTTCGGTACAATTATACACTAACCAAAATTGTACCAAATCTTTGCTGGAAAATTTCAGTTTCTGTATTTCGATTTTTGGAATGTGAACAATGATTACACAAACCAAACAAAGGTGGCAGGAAACTTTTTCGGTTTGTAGAAACCAACCAAATCTAGATTCTGTGAAATAATATATTTCATTAACAAGGCTGATTAGTGAATTAAATACATATGCATGACTTACTAGACTCTTCAATTTTTTTTCTTTCCTTTTTTCCCCTACACAACCTGATATTGTAATTACTCTTACTATTAAAATTAGAATGTGAAATCTCTGTTGATGGTCTGAATTGGATATGTGATGAAACGCAGGTAGATATCAACATCCACCATTTTTTTAATGGATATTTGAAGGGTCGGTTTGATAGGGAAATGTGGCCTCAGATGTTGAAACTCAATGATCCATCCCTAGATGATTCTTTCCAGGAGCACCTTCCTCGTCACTGTGCTGAGTTCATTTGTTGCTTGCCATTTAAGGAATATACTCATCCTTACCGTGGCTTTTTGAACCTTTCTGTCAAATTGCCTACAGAATGCGTGAAGCCAGTCATGGGACCAAAGACATACATCGCTTATGGTATTTCCCAGGAGCTTGGTCGTGGAGATTCTGTAACCAACTTCACTGCGACTCATGTGATGTGGTGTGCTTGGCTCTTTTTCATTTTTCCTGAGAGTTATGCCAAGTGTACCATTCATAATTAAGTCTTCTATTTCTAAAGCTTACCAAATGACACTTCAGACACTTATGGGGACAGTTCAATCACTTGAATTTATGTTGTTTCCAAATTCTTACTTTTTTATCTTCTGGTCATCGTTGCATATTTATTTAGTTCTTGCTTTTTGTAAACTTAAGTTTTCTCTTTTTCCTTTTCTGCATATTTGTAATGTGATATCATGAATAATCTGTTTCAGGTGAATATTTTGATGCATACTACTGAAGTGACCTGTAATCCTGAGCAAATTGTTACTATAGAAAGGTTAAAGAAAAAGCACGCTGAACATGACAGGACGGAAATTTTTGGAAATTCTGAGACTTCGGATGACAAAGTTGATACTAACAAGGCTGGCCATGGGTCTTGTGGCAACAATGCAAATGATAAAGAATTTTGTTTTGAAACCCAAGGAAGATTTTCTTGCTCTGAAACACGAAATCGGATGTTTTTCATACATCAATTAAATCATACGTAGATCTTAAACAGCTGTTTGTCCAGTCATGCATCAAAGTTGCAGTTGAATTTGTCTCACCTGAAAATGTTGGCGAGTGCTTGCGTTTGACGGAGGAATTCCGTACACTTCCACAAGATCACATAGCTAGTGAAGACAAGTTGCAGGTATGAGAATCTTGAATTCCAATGTGGTTATATGATATTGTAAGCATGACTTAAGTTGTCAACAGACCAACTTGTACATCACTCATTGTCTTTTTACTTATGAGTGGCTTGTTGGGGCTTAAATAGACTTCACTACTTTGGAGATATTTATCTCACAAAGAAGAATGTAATGCAGCGGAATTGATAGGCAAGAGAAAGAAAGAATACTTAAGGTATTACACAAAATTTTTTATTCACTCACAACTTAGTACAAGAGGAAACACTCAAATACTCTTAGAAGCTTTGTTGCTTCTTCTCACTTCTCACTACTTGCTCTCTTGGTTGTTTCAAATGGTGTGGATGCCTTCTCCTTTTATAGGCATGGATGGAACCTTGGAGAAGCATGGAAGCATCATGCTAGAGATATCTAGATAATTCCACTACCTTCCTAAGCTAGAATTTTCTACATTAATCTTGTATGTTGGTGGAATCCTCACCATTCTTCTAGACTCTTCCACCAACTTGAACTTTGCTAGAATTCTCTAGCATGTGTATGGATCTTTCTTTGTATATGGGCCAGATCAATTGTCTTGGGCCAAGACAAGATTACATTTTAATATGTTTGTTCAAGGTGTGGCTCACTCCACAATATTCTCATATTAGATCTTCAATCATATATCATCCTTACAAAAATTCGTCCAAATCGGAAAGCATTTCAATATCTAATTGTGACAAAGAAAAAAGTGTAGAAACACAATGTTGTCGAAAACACAATGAAATATTCACAACCATATAATCAAATGGCTAAATGACTTCTAATTTGGATGGAATTTAGTAAGGATGATCTTTGAATGAAGGTCCTAAATATCAATGGTTTCCGGAGTGGGCCAAGCTTGTGGTTAGCGCCCTCGCCGTATTAAGTTATTAACTTGTTAGCACTCGAGAACTCCTGCATGTGTGCATACAATTTGAAATGTGGTCAATTCTTTGAATGAAGGGCTTCTTATTTTGCTTGACTGGAAACAGGTGAAGAAAATGATTGTTCATGCTGCGAGTCAGGCTGTGGCAATTTTGGATGAGAATGCAAGGTTAGTAACTTACTAGAAGATATGCAGTTTAGAAATTGCAAATCTTTCTTACCTTTGTCTTACGGCTTGGTACTCTTGAACTTCTTATAGAACATTCGATTCATGGTCTCATTAAGTTTGTGCCTCTCATGTGCCAATGCATGGCTGCAGCGGTGTAGTGTGCCATTTCGTTTTTATGCCTTAACAGCTGTGGCATTAAAAACAAGACATGACAGGACCATCCTTTTTTTTCCTCTTTCGATCCTTTGTTGATATCACAATTTATGAATGCTTACATTGGGTAGGAATCGCTACATATAACAATTCACATTGTTTGATCTCATCGAGTATTATGAACCGAAAGTAATTTCTTGATTTAGACACACCGAGCGACACCAATTAGTGCATAAAATAAGAAACACTAGTACAGTCATATACAGACATGCAAATGTCTAGTTAAAGTATGAAGTAATATTGCAATGATCCATAAATTGATGGATCAATTTGCAAACGGCGTGTTCTTATTTGTTTTATTGGATTTTCCTGTTTGAATTTTGTTTTTTAGGTTTCAGCAAGAATTAAGGGGTGAGGACAAAATGCTCCAAGTTTTTGAGCATACGCCTTCAGCAACCCTCGCTGGACTGCAATCCAATGATCATGGAAGGAGAGAAAAAGGAAACGCAGAGCAACAGGGAGAAGAGGAGGACGCTGAAGTTCTCGAGCAGCAGCCTTCCTTGTCCCCTGTCGAACTACATAGCATTGGACATGCATGGAGACAAGGAACTGTAGCACAGCAGGGAGAAGAAGAGGATGCCGAAGTGTGAATAAATAATTTTCAGTGGAGGGTTGCGTTTGGTTTCGATTATAGTCGGTTTTAATTTATTTTTGAAAGTTTTAAGAGTGGATATTTGTTTGCTAAACCTTTTGCTGAAGTGTGAAGAAATAATTTTTCATCATGTTTTGTTCGGTTCGTTAGTTGCATTGACAGAGATGTATCTATTGCACCTTATCATGTGTTAGGGAAATTTAACGAAAGGAATGCTGGAGAGGGAATAAGCTGGTTGTGACAGCAGGTTAGGGTCCGTTTGGTTCACGGATTAAGATACTTATGCGAACCAATGGAATAAATATTTTCAACAACTTATGGTATAATTTTGTTGTGTATTGGAGAAAAACCTTCCTTAGAGATTTATATATATCATCTCGCAAATTAGGGTTCGTTTGCTCACGGATCTAGATACTTCTGTGAACCAAATGATGGAATGAATATTTTCAAATATAGAACCATTAGTCTGCACAGAATGTTGGGCGGTGAAGTATCAACACGTACACAAAATGGGTGTAGCGGAGATGAGGATGCTTCGTGGGATGTGTGGGCACACGAGAAAGAATAAGATTGGGAATGAGGATATCCGAGGTAAAGTAGGAGTAGCCGAAATTGAAGGAAAGATGAGAGAAAATCGGTTACGGTGGTTTGGACATGTGCAAAGAAGGCCTAGGGGTAGAGGTTCAGGGCCAAAGAGGTAGAGGAAGACCTAGGAAAATTTTGGAAGAGACCCTAAGAAAAGACTTAGAGTACTTGGATCTAACGGATGACATGACACAAAACCAAGCGCAATGGCGTTTTAGGATTCATATAGCCGACCCCACTTAGTGAGAAAAAGCTTTGTTGTTGTTGTTGTTGTTGTTGTTGTATAGAACCATTAGTCTAATTCATGCATTCTTCGTGATAGTAAACGAAAAGAATTGTAATGGCCTAAATGAGCATGAACATTTTATTTGAAAAGGACCCACACATGTGAAACAAATATGCCATGATTCGAAGTGAAGGTCATTATAAATGTAAGGAATTTGTAGTTTAATTCGTTAAAGCATTCATTCACCTTACATCTGAATTCAGTTTTTTCCTACTTCATCGTTGCACCCGAGTTCGATTTGCCCCTACTTAACGGTTGCATTCAAGTTCAATTTTCCCCTATCCGACATCACTTATATCAAAGGAGAGTGCAAATCATAAAGTCCAAAATTGTAATTCAACAAAAATATTTTAAACTATCCTAAGTGAATGGCTGTTTAAATCCCGAACAGGTTCTTCAAAAAAAAAAAAAAAAGAAAGAAAGAAACTATGCACTAGAACAATTTACCACTTGCAAATTGAATAGACTTTTAAGACATGCAAAATAAGAAAATTTTCAAATATCATGTATCATAATACAAGTGGAGAAACACGAAAAAATATATCGTCATATCCTTCGCTAATATTATGACATGTGGAGAATCCGGCACTTAAAAAAATCTCTCCAAGCAAAGGAGAAATTTTTCAATGTGCTAGAAACATGGGTTGATAAACCCAAGTGTCATAATATAAATTTTAATTTTTTTTAGGAAATTGCCAAAATGACCCATCTTCTTGAAAAATCCGACAATATTATAGAAATAGAATTTTTCTAAAACTTGCTGTTGGAAGACTATAAATAAATTCAAAAGGACATGTGTACCTTTTATGTGAAAGCTTGAATCTCAACATGCTCTGACCCTCCTTGCACGTCTAGAACCTCGCAGGTCGTTGGGTTGGCTACGGAATGTCGAGCTGCCCCTTGGTTTTCGCCTCCCAAGACCTAGAGCCGAAAGTGAAAGCTCTAAAGACCTAACTAGAATATTTAAACTATGGAAAAGCTTGTGTTTCTTATATTGTTTCTCTCTTCCCTAAAGCCTCCTTATATAGTGGTTGAGAAAAGTGTACAAAGAATGAAAAAGCCCATGAAAATCCCAAGTATATTCTAATATGAAGATCTCTTGATTTTCATCTAATTATCACATAGATAATTAGGAGGTTAATATACTCATGTGGGTGGAAGATCCTTTGATATTTATTTATCCCATAAGATAAATCCTACACTTACAATTACCAAATTGCTTCTATATAATGGGTTACCCAAAAATTTCAACCCTTATTTCTCATTTTGTAAAGAGAGAAACAGAGAGGAGGTGGTCGAAGCTGTTGATGAGCAAACTTCACAGCTTCCCGTTGAACGATAGACCATTGGGTGTGAATCGAGAGAGGAAGAAGATGGAGGAAAGCAAGATGGAATGCAAAAAGAGGAGGTACAAGATGTCGAGGAGCAGCATTCACATCCCCTTTTGCGCAAACGCCTAGCGTTGGAGCTGTAGTGCAGCAAGAATCAAGTGGAGAAGACAAGGTGGTCCAAGTTTTTGAGCAAACACCTTCACCACCCCTTGATGAACTAAATTCCATTGGTAATGAATGCATAGAGGAAGGAACTGTAGGACAACTTGCAACGCCCTGGTTCATTATTCTCTACTGATCTAACTACATTTTCAAAGTACAATATATGGAAACACCGTCCGAGTAATCAAACAAAATTTCACGAGTAATGCTATTCATATCATGTTTTTGTATCACATTTGCATACCACCTTAGGTGGCATTTGACGTGGACATCCACATCATTTGAATTAATCAGATTTTTAAATTTAGTTCATTATTTAATAAACTAATAATTAAGAAACTAGTTAATTAAATGATGATTGTGGTATACAAGGAGTATTTCTCCTTCATTTCCTTGGGTTTTGCAAATTTTTCAAATGATATGACTGTCATATCAGATGTCAGTGTTGTAAACGGGTCGGGTTTATTGGGTTTGGGTCGGGTTCAACCCGACCCGTTAAGTTAATGGGTCATCCGAACTCAACCCGTTAAGCTAACGGGTCACCCGAACCCGACCCATTAAGCTAACGGATCACCCGTTAACACCCGTTAACAATTATTATTATTATTATTTTTGCATAAAGTTTATTTTTTGTTATTAAGACTTTACAAAAATTACTAAAATATCCTCAACTATCGGGTGCTAACGGGTGTTAAAGGGTCCTAACGGGTCAAACGTGTTGACCCAAAGTGACCCGTTATTTAACGGGTTGTTAACGGGTTCACCCGTTAGCGACCCGACCCGTTAAGCATCCACCCAAATACAAATATTAACGGATTGGGTCGGGTCGGGTTAACGTGTTAGGTCCAAAATGTCAGGCCTAGATGTCACCTAAGATGGTATAGAAATATAGTATAAAAACATGATATGAATAGCATTACTCAAATTTCACATCATGGGAAAGATCTCTAGATTTGCAATTGACGAATAGAAAACCATCTTTTTTTTTCCCACACTCTAAAGGGAGGGAGGTTTGGGTGTAAGCCATACAAAATAATTAGGTATTGAATTCGGCATCTAAGTAAGTGAAACCTAATACTTGGAATGTTGCTAGAAACTAGCATTATAAACCGTTTTTATTAGAGAAAATTATAGAAATGATCTCTTAACATTAACCCAATTTGAGGATAGTCACTCAACTAAAAATATGTGACCATTGGTCCCTTAATTCATCAAAATATGCAGCTATGATCCTTTTCATCAACTTCATATGAATTTCGTCAAAATGAGTCATGTTGGAAGGACCATTGTTACAATTGAGTTAAAGTTGATGGATCATTGCTCCAATTAAGTTAAAGTTAAGGGACTATTTCTCCATATTTGCCCCTTTCATTAGTCTCACTCATTTTGATGGAAGATCTAACGGATTTGACGAAAATGACCATAGGTGCACGTTTAGATGAGTTAAGGGACCAACGATCACATATTTTTAGTTGAGAAACCTTTACTTCAATTAAGTTAAAGTTAAAAAACCATTACTACAATTTTCCTATTTATTAACTTGAAAATACTAGCCAAGGGAATTGTGTAAAACAAATGGAAGGAGCCATTTTATGATTCCTTAACTATAGATCTCACAAATTACAATTGCTTTAAAAATTTGAAATTCACTTTCATATAAATTTTTGGTTTGACTTCATTTTACACCCACCAGGTTTGGGCTGATTTTTAAAACGGATTATAAAATTTTAATTTTCTCATATTGCTCGCTAAAGTATTGAGATTGTTTAAATTTGTGCCTTTGGTCTGATTGATTGTACAATGATTCATTAAATTTATGACATGGTGAGTTTGAGATTCTTATATAGGCTAACATATAAGACACATTTCCACCATATTAACCAAAAACACATCAATTTAATGGATGATTAGATGTCCAAAGAGGTAAAACTTGCAGAATGATACAATTTTTAAAACCTTAAACTACAATGTGAAAAAATTAAAATCTCATGGTCGATTTTAAAAATCACCTCCAATCTAAAAGGTGTAAAACATAGTTATAAAATGGCTTATTATCTTTTCACTGACATTGTTTTCTTGTGCCTCCTCCCTTTCTACTATCATTTGTAATTAAAAGGTTCATAATCAATTAACTAGATGTGTGAGGATAATTTTGATTACTTTTAAAATAACAAGACAACAAGCCACAACTAATGTGTGAAGAGTAAATAGGCAAAATTAGAGGGACGAAATTTTTCGATGTAACTGTCATAATATGAAATTATTATTAATTCATTCATATTAAAATATATTACTTTGTAACATCGTGTCGTCCTATGACAAGTTTTCCATCACACATTCATTCACTCTTCATTTACATTCATTCACTCTTCATTTATGTCTATCCCAATTGTTTCAACTGCCCCACAACTTGAGACAACCAAAGAAAAGGGAAATAAGTGAGTTATTTGCGCGGTGAAATTTGAATAACGTCTAAATGGAAGCTTTCAAAAGATAAAATAATAAAACTTGTTGCAGTTTTATGAGATTAGGAATGTGATTGTGTAAATCCTAGACTATTTAGGGATATATTGGAATATTCTATGGGGTTAAATATTATCATATTAGAGTTACAATCCTATTAGGGTAAGGATTTAACCTTCCCTATGGTTTTCCTTTCACCTTAGGTTTTATCATAGCGAAGTTTTGTAAGTTTTACCTTTTATGCATTTTTTCGTTGATTTGAGACTCGCATTCGCTCATTGTGTTGACGACTTCATCAACTGTACTTACTTCATTGCTGAAGACTTGATGCGCCATTTGTTTGAGTATTTACACACTCAAAGGGAAGTGTTGCGGTCCTATTAGATAAGTAATGTGATTATGTAAATGCTAGTGTATCTGGGGATATTTTGGAATATTCTCTAGGGTTAAAATTATCATATTAAAGTTGTAATCCTGTTAGATTAAAGATTTAACCTTCCTTATTACTATAAATAAAGGGGAGTTTTAACTCAACACTCCCGGTATTGTTCACTTTTAACAAAAAAAACCACATTTTTACTTTTTCCTGGTACTATTAACTACATCTTTATTTGTCATTTTTCATTAAAATTAAAGTTTTTTTGAATTTTTCGTTAATTTTCCTTAAATAAAGGCACAAACACTTTACAATTACACATCTCTCTTTCTCTCTCGCTATGACGCACCTGCTCCTTTTGGCCTCTATAATTATTCAATAAATTACACCTCCAACAAAACTGATTATTTATAAAAAAAAAAATTACTAAACCATGAAAATTACATATCAATCACATTGCCATAAATGATTAAAGACATAGTAATTAGATATTGACGACATTCAGTATACTACTGAAAAAATAATCATTTCAAGTTTCACGAATTGAAATTTTGAAAAATAATTATCTTACAAATTTCTATAAAAACAAAAAGACAAGAAAAAGAAAATAGGGGATGAAAAACTTGGAGTACGGCACAAGCTTTCATTGCAGAAAAAGCTTCAACAGTGTGACAGACTCTGTGAGTAGGGTTTATGGTGGTGCAGTGGAGCCGAGAACTAGAGGACAAAGGCTTTTCAATGCAATGTTCTTCCTCATGGTGGTCACGCAGAGCTGACGACGGTGGCCGACGGCGGTAGGAGCTCTCAAACTTCAAGCGTTAGCCTTGTTGATCTGTGCCCAAAGATTTTCAACTTTCCTTTCTAGAAAAACCCTTCCGTACACAACCCATTGCTCAGTTTTCTTCGAAGAGGCAAGAGTCGGAAGCTGTAGGCGAGCTGAGAGTGATGGGGAAAAACCCAGAAACAAGCTTGGGGGGAAATGGCGGTGGTTCGGAGAAAGGTGAGCGATTTCTGGGAATTCAGAGTGATGGAAAAAAAGGGAGGAAGCGTGGTAGGAAGAGAGGCAGAGATTTGGCGGGTAAAGGTGATTGGGTAGCTCCAACTTTGAAGAAACATGGCGGGTCGTGCAGGAGGAGGGCTAGATATTTGGTGGCTGAGAAAGATGTGCAAGGTGGTGGCGGAGGAAGCGAAAATGCCCGAACCGGTAGTGCAAATGGGGCTCGGAATGGTGAGAAATGGGATCCTACAGTGGGTCTGGGGAACGAGGAAGATTGTGGGATTGGTGTGTTGGATTTGAAAGAAGGTGAAGGACAAGGGGGTAGTGGTATTGGTGGTGAGGAATTTCATGGAGCTTTGGGTGAGGAACGCGGTACAAGTGAGAAAGTCAAGGGGTCTGCAAGGGGAGTCGAGAAGTCTGTGAGTGCAGAATGCGTAAATAAGCAGAGTTCAAAAGTATGATATTTGTAATTCTCTGTTTTGTGATTGTTCCTTTTTTTATTATTATTATTATTTTTTTTATGTGTGATTATGTAATATCTGATTTTGGATCTCTAACAGTTTGTTCAGGAGATGTCTTTGTCTTGCCATCAATGTCAGAGGAATGACAAGGGTAGGGTTGTTCGGTGCAGATTGTGTAAAAGAAAGCGGTTTTGTATCCCTTGCATACAATCTTGGTAACCTTCTATTTGCTCAGTTTTTCTGATTCTAACTTGTGAAAGACGTTGGATTGTTTGAATTAATTTTATGGACTAGCCACAATAGTTTGAAGTGGCTTTGTCTTGGTACAATCCAGTACATGTATCTTGAAATGTTGTTTGTCGAAACATGTAAGGTGCTTAGCTGAATTGCTAATTCATTCTGATTTGTAATTCTTAATCCATTTGTTTTACCTTCATTTATTATGAAGTCAAGCAACATATATGGACTTCCAGGAATTTGCTCAGTGTTGATAAACATTTTAAAATCAACTTTTACGTGAGGTTCTAGGACTCCAAATATTGCAATTGAATGAACTTTTTACTTAGTTTTTATGACTACTTTGTATTATCAAAATTTTGTTTTATGTAGGTATCCTCAAATGTCAGAGGATGTCATTGCTGAGGCTTGTCCTGTATGCCGTGGCAATTGCAATTGCACAGTATGCTTACATAAACCTTCTCAGGTCAGTTTACCTTTTCTGAATGTCTCCTGGATTTTTCCTTGTTCATTACTTAAGAGGAAGTTTGATAAAATTTTACGGTTTTTTATGTAGTATTTGAGGAACCTTGAATTCAACATTTCCGAAGATGAAAGGGTTGAGCACTCTATGTATTTGGTTCAAACATTGCTTCCATTCTTGAAAAGGATTAATGCTGAACAAATGACTGAGATGGACATGGAGGCTACAAGACAAGGTATATTCTCTCTTTGTCAGATAGTTGTTTAAACTCATTAACCTGCAACTCCTTTGATGGGGTGGGTTGATGATGCAGATACAGGGACTGGAATTTTCTCTAAAACCGTTGGAGCCAAGGAATTCATAAACAAGAATCTCAAAAAACTGTCAAAAGCACAGACGCTCTAAGTAAAATATTGAAACTTACTACTGCAATATAATTGCAGTTCGGCTGCCCATATAATGACTGTTTAAGGTGGCTGGAATTTTGTAGGCGGCTAGTGTCTATTTATGTTCTTTGAATCTACTGAAACAAACCCAGAAAAGCAGAATTTGAATAGTGTCAAGGATTTGATTGAAAGCATTTTTCCCAATAGTCTGATATGCTAACATTGTTGACGTTTCAAGAAATTTGTTTACAAATTCTAGGCCACTAGATCATGTTGCAAGAAAATTGGAGAAAAAGTTTGGTTTTTGTGCATAAAAATGAATTGACTTGAGTCTTATTTGCAAATTGCAATATTGTTTGTTGGGGACATAAATGGAATTCAAGGTTTTTCTATTTCTCTAATTGTGCCCCTTTATTGTCCTATCAAACGCCACCCAAAAGATCTTCAAAACTTCCCAATCTTATCTAATATTTTGAAAAGGACATGGTTATAACTCTGTTTCATTTCAATAAAATAAAATAATTTTGGCTGAGGAGTGAATGATTAGAAGATGCCTTTGTGTGAAGAACTTTCTGGTGAAAAGGACCTTGTCACACGCTCGTGCACATATAAGTAGCTATATATTTTATTATTCAGTACATTACATTCATTTTTGTCATTCCGATTTTGTTAGTTGAGGCCACTGTTGAATCTTGGATGGATCTGTTTCCCATGGAGAAACACGTGAAATTGTCTTACCAGTTCATAGAAGATGTGATAAGCATAAGTTTGTTACCCTTTATATGAAAGACCCAACGTACAAAATTTGGTGGAACATTTTGCATTCTTGTAACTTGGTTTTTGGATGTTCACATGGACAGGGCTTTCTATTTCAGAGCTAAAGATACAAAGTTCAGACTGCCTTGAGGATGAGCGTGCATACTGGTGGAGCCTTTACCGTAACTATTCTAAATTAATTTTCTTCCGTATACCTACTAAGCATTCAGATTTGACCTTTTTGTTTTCCTTTTTCAGCAACAACTGCAAAACTTCTATTGTTGATTTACACAGAAGCTGTCCTCTATGCTCATATGATCTTTGCCTCATCTGTTGCCGAGAAATTCGAGATGGACGCCTGCTGGGAGCTAGAGAGGAAGTGATTTTTAAGTATATCAATCAGGGCCTAGACTATTTGCATGGTGGAAAAGGGGATACTGTAGATCTGCCTTCTGAAGTTAACACCAAGTTTCATGCAGGGTCAACATATGACTGGAAAGCAAATTCAGATGGAAGCATTGTTTGCCCCCCAGAAAACATGGATGGTTGCGGTCATAGTTTTCTAGAATTGAGATGCATGTTTGCTGAAAATCACGTCAGAGAGTTGGTGAAGAAAGCTGAAGGAATCGCTCAAACTTACAAACTTATGCATGTGGCTGGAACTTCTGCACATCAGTGTTCATGTTGCAACTCTGTCAGTGGTGTTGACATGAGCAGCAATAAGTTAAGGGAAGCAGCTTCTCGAGAGGGATCGGATGACAACTATTTGTACTGTCCAAGAGCTACTGATATTCAACATGAAGATTTTAAGCGTTTTCAATGTCATTGGATCAGAGGTGAGCCTGTGATTGTGAGCAATGTGCTTGACACTGCATCAGGTTTAAGCTGGGAACCGTCGGTCATGTGGCGCGCTTGTCGTCAGAAACATACTAGGCATGATAAACTGAAAAATAATAGGCATGTCAATCAAGTGAAGGTCATTGATTGCTTGGATTGGTGTGAGGTTAGTATCATTTGTCCACCAAGCTTTTGTACCTTACACATGGTTCTTTATTTTATTTACTCTTGTTTCTTATAAAAAAAAAAAAATTGCACTTGTTTTTTCAGTTGCTTACTACTGGTTGTTATGATGTTTTAATCTCTTTCACCTTTTAAAGTTCTAGCAAGAGAATGCTAAGAAGTATCTATTTATGTGGTTGTCATCAATTCAAGTGTTTGGAAAGTATGGTGGTGAACTATTGCTGGGTTCTTATTTTACTGCTTTGCACAGTTTGAATAAGCACAGATTTTGGTCACTGGCTTAAATTATAAATTCTTGTAATAAGCGTTCCTTTGCTCATGAGCCATGAGTTCCAAGTTTTTTTGTTTCTACATATGCCAGAGTCTATATTCTTATGTTAGTGTAGGGTAGTGTGACTCACTAATCAAAGAGGAGACAACAAATATAGGTGCTGTGGTGTTCGGTATAATTAACTATGAACCAAGTAAAAAAAAAATTAAGCTTACAATTTATTCTGTACAAAAAGTAAGAATTAAGCACAAAAGAAAGCTAAATTAATCCCTCAAACTCTGAAATTAGGAAGATTCGATTACTTATTAGATCACGTAGAGTTTTGGGTTTTGTTCAGACTTATGTAAGTTCTAAATCTGTTACAGATTACTGCAGAAAGGGAGTTCTTATTCAAGCAATTGATTAGGCATTGTAGATATTGTTGGTACCATATATTTGGGCCTCGTATTTGGGCCTCACACATTAAGCCCACGACAAATGTAAAATAGGAGGAGCCCCTTATTCTATAAAAGGGGACTCCCCCTCATTCTAAACCAAGTCTGAAGTCCTCATTTCTAAGGGCTAGAGCTGAAAACAAAGGCTAGAAGCCTTGAGAGAGAGTCCTCACACCACCGAGGCTCTCCTCTCCCTTCTCTTCTCTCTCCGGGGGACTTCCCCTCAAACACTTGTATCCATACAATTACAGAGAAACAGAATCAACTACAGTGTGGACGTAGCCCAAACATTGGGGTGAACCACGATAACCCTTGTGTCATTTACATTTCATGCAGATTCACGGTCGGATTTACGTTGTTCCAAGACTTCCGGTTTTGTGCATCAACATTTGGCGCCGTCTGTGGGAAACGATACGAAAAGTTGTGTCGGTTCTCTTTCATTTTTTTCACCCCCCGCCGTGAATCTGCAAAACCCAATCGACTAACTACTACTTCTACCATCCCACTCCTTTCGTCTTCAAACGAAGAGAAAATGGGATCAACGATGCGACCATAAAGATCTTGTACTGTGGGATATGCCACACCGATCTCCACCATGCTAAGAATGACTGGGGCATCACCATATATCCAGTGCATCACTCCGACGAAAAGTTTGTCACCGACATCATCATCAGCTTCACCCTCGTGGGCCGGGACACCACTTCGGCTGCTCTCACCTGGTTCTTCTGGCTGCTTTCGCAGAACCCATATGTAGAACAAGAGATCTTGAAGGAGATCAACGACACGGCGTCGTCTGAGTTAGCGGCGGGAGGAGGTCACGACGAGGTGAAGGAGATGGTGTACACCCACGTGGCGCTGTGCGAGAGCATGAGGCTGTACCCGCCGGTTCCCGTCGACAGTAAACAAGCTGAACATGTGGCAGCCATCTCTTGCTCAGGCCATGGAAGAGCCTACTTGGACGGCCTGATTTCTTGATGGAAAGGAACCTGTTTCATGCAGCTAAAAGTGCAATTCTAGTAGCTGAGTGGCATAGAATGGGATCACTGGACTATCGGTTTGAAGGAGATGTATCATCATGGAAGAGCATTTCATGCCACAAACCACACCCACGAAGAAGATAAGTGGTTGTCAGAAACTTTATATTTCTTTATGTTATTTCTTAATTATTCTATAAATGGTGCCAGCTTTACTTTGTTTTGTCTGCCTCAATGGTTCTATAAGTGCTGCCCATCTAAAAAGATAAATTTTATTATAATCATTTGATTATTTTAACACAAAAAACAAAGGGAACGTTACATTATATGTTGGAGAAAGCAACAAACCATATATTATGGCACCAAAAGCATTAGTTAGTAGTGACTCAGCAACACATATTTCGAAATCCATTTTTTCTCAGCATTTGATTGATTACACAATGGCCAAACTTTCATCATGCATCCCATTTTCTGAAAAGCTATTACAAATATTATTATTTAATATTACAGGGTATAATATATACCCATTATCCATTTGTCTAACAGAAAAAAAGCCACGGTAAAACTCAAGATAAGAGCACTTTTATTATGAAGTCTCTACTTTTCACTTTGATAATGTCGGCCATGAAATAAATATAATTATGTTTTCTCAATATCATTGTTTATTTAATATCTTATTATTTTATTTGTGTCATGATGACTAATTATAAAATAATAATTTTATTATTTTTTATGTCATGACACATGATTTATACCACGTTATTGATTTATACAACATGTGATTTATCAAACAACTAAATAAATCATTTATTCATGATTATATATATATACACACACATTTAGGCAATACCTAATATATTGTTGATATATGATACAAATCATTTACCACACGACTGAATAAATTATTTATTTATAGAAGAACATAGTACAATATTTTGCCTTGACAAACTTTGTCAATTTGATTTATTCATTATACGGTCGTACTTATACTGTCATTTATTGTCAGGAATTATTGAGCAACTAGGTCCACTGATTAACGTTGTTGCTGATTAACGAGGTCTACCAACTTATAGACTGATGAGTCACGTGCTTGTGGTGATCTCTTGTCTGACCGGACATCCACTTGCTCGGACATTCACTTATTGGGATACCTATGTGCCTGGACCCAACTCGATGACCCTACAGATAGTCCCAACTCGATGCCCCTACGTATGGCCCCGATTCAAAGACCCGACTTGCGGACCCGATCCGCGGATCCGACACATAGACCCAATATGTGAACCCGACAAGCAGACCCGAGTCATGTCGAGAATCAACTCATAATGAGTGCATGTCGACATAAAGTAGATACTTGCAATAAGGAATAACACGAGCAAATGCCTCGCCGCGAGCATAGCCTCTAGCCGAGCAGCCTCGCAACGAGCATCGCCTCCAGCCAAGCAGTCTCGTAACGTGTGATACCTTTAGCCGAGTATTGCTTTATGTTGAGCATTACCTTAGGTTGAGTACTGGTTCAAGACATCTAGCCACTTCGGCCCGTACATGGATTGGATTTGAAGTCTCCAGCCAAAAGACTCTCTTGACTGAAGACTTGGGGGACTACTGTTGGTACCATATATTTGGGCCTCGTATTTGGGCCTCACACATTAAGCCCACGACAAATGTAAAATAGGAGGAGCCCCTTATTCTATAAAAGGGGACTCCCCCTCATTCTAAACCAAGTCTGAAGTCCTCATTTCTAAGGGCTAGAGCTGAAAACAAAGGCTAGAAGCCTTGAGAGAGAGTCCTCACACCACCGAGGCTCTCCTCTCCCTTCTCTTCTCTCTCCGGGGGACTTCCCCTCAAACACTTGTATCCATACAATTACAGAGAAACAGAATCAACTACAGTGTGGACGTAGCCCAAACATTGGGGTGAACCACGATAACCCTTGTGTCATTTACATTTCATGCAGATTCACGGTCGGATTTACGTTGTTCCAAGACTTCCGGTTTTGCATCAACAGATATCTTTCCATTTTTTTCATAAATGGGGGTAAGGCTAGCCGACATTCACCTCTCCCAGACCCTACGTAAAGCGGGAGCCTTGTGCACTGGGTACGACCTTTTTTTATAGTATAGAATCAGTCTTTGTTTGAAACTGCAAAAAGCTGTAATTGTTCTTGATGGTTTGATACCTTTGATTTTGATTTGTAAAATATATGCTATATGAAATGCAGCTAGATATCAATATCCGCCAATTTTTTACTGGATATTCAAAAGGCCGTTTTGATAGGCAAATGTGGCCTCAGATGCTGAAACTCAATGATCCATCCCTGGATGACTCTTGTCAGAAGCGCGTTCCTCGTCACTGTGCTGAGTTCATTTGTTGCTTGCCATTTAAGGAATATACTCACCCCTGCAGAGGCGTTTTGAACCTTGCTGTGAATTTGCCTATGGGATGTGTAAAGCCAGATATGGGGCCGAAGATGTATATTGCTTATGGTGTTTCCCAGGAGCTTGGACGTGGAGACTCTGCAACCAAGCTTCACTACAATTGCTGTGATGTGGTGTGTTTGGCTGTTCTACATTACTGCTATTTTTATCCTCTTTGGGTTTGCATCTAGCTGTGTTCACGGTCCATTTGACCTTTCTTATATGTTTGAATCTTCACTGGATTACATATCGGTTTACTACCTGGACATAATTTTGGAGTCAAAATCTACAAAGCTGGTTTGCAGTTTGCTTCTCTGTCTCTTTGTGGAAGTTTTTCATACTTATACTTCGATCTAGGAATTGTTTAATCGGCATCTCAGTGAGGTCCGGCTAGTCGTCGGATAATTTTCCTGTGATGAAAATTTAGCAATTTGGAAAATGAAGTGCAAGAGTAGTAGGATTTAGTTGTACAATGACTTAGAGTTCTCCTTACTTTTGTGCTGACTGTAATGTTTGAGTTACCAATTCTAAACTCTCGTCCTTGTTCTTTTATTTTTATTTTTTATTGTAGAATTCTAACTCTTTGTCTTGTGCATCATATGTTATACATACCAAGTCTCTTGAATTTCATTCTTCATTTTGGTAGTTTTTGAGAAGCACAGACACTGTAGACAATGGTTCATCACAATAGTGACACAATACAACAACAAAGCCTTATCCCACTAAGTGGAGTTGGCTATTTGAATCCTAGAACACCATTGCGCTCGGTTCTGTGTCATGTCTTATGTTAGATCCAAGTAGTCCAAATCTTTTCCTAGAGTCTCTTTCAAGTCTTCCTAGGTCTTCCTTTACCCCTTTACCCCTTTACCCCTTTGGCCCTAAGCCTATGTCTCGTACCCGCATCTTCTAACCGGAACATTTGTAGATCTTCGTTTCACATGTCCAAATCACCTTAACCGATTCTCTCTCATCTTATCTTCAATTTCGCCTACTCCTAATTTGCCTCGTATATTCTCATTCCTAATCTTGTCCTTTCTCGTGTACTCACACATCTAACGAAGCATTCTCATCTCCGCTACACTCATTTTGTGTATGTTTTGATGCTTCACCGCCCAACATTCCGTGCCATAAAGCATTGCCGGTCTTATTGTCGTCCTATAAAATTTTCCCTTCAGCTTTAGTGGCATATGACGGTTTCACAACACACCCGATGTAGTCTTCCATTTCATCCATCCAGCTTGTATTTTGTGATTGAGGTCTCCACCCAATTCTCCGTTCTTTTGCAAGCTAGATCCAAGATAGCGAAAGCGTTTGTTCTTTGGTACTTCTTGATCTCCAATCCTCACCCCTGACTCATTTGCACCTTCATTCACCCTGAACTTGCACTCCATATACTCTGTCTTTGACCTACTTAGGTGAAGTCTTTTAGATTCCAACACTTCCCGCCAAAGGTTAAGCTTCGCATTTATTCCCACCAAAGGTTAAGCTTCACATTTACTCCCTCCTGAGTTTCATCTATCAACACTATATTGTCTGCGAAAAGCATACACCAAGGAATATCATCTTGAATATATGCTCAATTAACTTATCAATTACCAATGCAAAAAGGTAAAGACTTAAAGATGAGTCTTGATGTAGCCCTACAGTTATGGGAAAACTTTCGGCTTGTCTTTCATGAGTTCTTACAGTAGTCCTTGCTCCATCATACATATCCTTTATAACTTGGATATATGCTACTTGTACTCCTTTCTTCTCTAAAATCCTCCAAAGAATCTCTCTTGGGACCCTATCATACGTATTTTTCCAAATCTATAAATACCATGTGCAATCCTTTTTCATATTTCTATATCTTTCCATCGATCTTCGTAAGAGATAGATTGCCTCCATGGCTGAGCGCCCTGGCATGAACCCAAATTGATTGTCTGAGACCCCTGTCTCTTGCCTGGGTCTATGCTCAATTACTCTCTTCGATAGCTTAATTGTATGACTCATTAACTTAATACCCCTATAGTTCATGCAATTTTGTACATCACCCTTATTCTTGTAGATAGGCACCAAAGTTCTTTTTCGCCACTCATTTGGCACCTTCTTCGTTTCCAAAATCTTATTGAAAAGGCTTGTGAGACATGCTGTACCCGTCTCTCCCAAGACATTCCACACTTTGATCAGTATATCATATGTGCCCATTGCTTTTCTATGCTTCATCTTTTTCAAAGCTACAACCACTTCTTCCTTCCTGATTCGGCGGTAGAAGGAGTAATTTATACACTCTTCAGAGTTACTCAACTCCCCCGAAGAAGTACTCCTTTCGTGTCCTACATTGAAAAGATTATGGAAATAAAACAACAAAGGAATATATTATCAATTTTGGAGTATTTTAAATATTATAAGGTTAATAGATTTCATGTCAAAATAATTAATTCCATTAGGAATATCAAAAAACTCTCCCGAAAAATTGCATGCCACTGTTGTATCCCTTGTTGTTCTATGCTCTGTTTTATTTTTTATTCGTGTAACGTGCCTGAAGTGTGTTTCAGTGTCTGTGTTGTTTAGGTGTTCAACACCACACCCAGGGGAAAATTTATGCTGCCCAAATGAGTCTTATGGTTGGCGTTTGTCGAAGTACTTTGGTTGGTGGTTTGTTAATAGTACTGATATGATTTAGTATAAATGTGAAGGATTTATAGAAACGTCACCATTGGTTTTACAGTCATATTTGATATTTCAATCAATTGGATATGTTGTAATGTTTGTTTCCTGCATTTTTATTTTTTAGTTAGAAATCATTGCTGAAAACGTTTTTTGGTGAATTTTTTAATTTAGTAGCATTCTGCAAGCTCAGGGTTCTTTCTTTTTTGTTCTCCTCTTCTGCATATTGTAACTTCAATATATGTTGTCCTGAATAACTTGTCTCAGGTGAACATTTTGACAAATACTACTGAAGTGACCCTTACTCCCAAGCAAATGGAGACTATGAAAAGGTTAAAAAAGAAGCACATTGAACAAGACAGAAGGGAAATTTTTGGAAATTTTCAGACCGTGGAAGAAAATGTTGATAGTAACCAGCCTGGCGATTCTGGTGTGTCTAGGTTGAATGGTGAAAGTTTTTCAGAGGGTTCCAAGTCCGAAAAGAATATAGTGGGTGGTGCTTTATGGGATATTTTCCGGCGTGAAGATGTTCCTAAGCTGAACGATTATCTCCAGAAGCACTGCAAGGAATTCAGGCATACTTTCTGTTGTCCAGTGCAGCAGGTAATCAGTTGTTCATGAATTGTTGCGGTTTAGTTAATGAGCTAGGGGAGTGAAGGTTCATCCCATATTGGGGAAAGTATGCATTCTTAGTCATAAAAGAGTGCAATCGCATAAGCACCCTAACTCTTACAACGTAACATTTCCTTGATACTACTTTCAACAAATGTGACAATAAGCCAATAAGGAAATCTCAGCTTGCTTTTATTTCTAGACACAACCCATAAATGAGTATGAACTATTTCACAGCGGTTGATTATATGATTAAGTTCTCTACGAACAAAGAAACATGATGGTGATTCTAGAATAGACAAGGACTCAAATACTGGATTGGACTACGACTTAAATAAGCTATGACCAGGACGGTAGTGCCAAGGAGAAACACTTTTCTGTAAAATGAGAGAGCTAAATATCATGGAGTCCAAGCCATCCTTCTGATGTTTCTTTCTCATGTTTTTGTTTATATTAATGTGTTTCCAACTTTCTTTTTTTCTTTTTTTTTTTTGGCAGGTTATTCATCCCATACATGACCAAACCTTTTATCTGACAATGCAGCACAAAAGGAAGCTGAAGGAAGAATATGGTTGCTTCAATATATATATTTATGTGTAGTTGAATTTAAATTTATAGTCCTTCGGAGTTACAATTTATATATCTTATATTCTTGTGCTATCTTTCTAGGGATTGAACCGTGGACATTTATCCAGAAACTTGGAGATGCTGTTTTAATTCCTGCAGGATGTCCACACCAAGTGAGAAACTTGAAGGTAGCTTGTATTTTATCGATTATATGATTCTTTCCTTGCAAAACCATCAATGCCTACTATACAATTCATGAGCTTTCTTAATGAGTTACGAAGAGACCCATTCCAGAATTGATGTTCTTTCAATTTTGAGGGTGGTAAATTTGTTGTCCATCTAAAATTGAAAGAAACGATTATTATCTTTGAGATATTTTCATTCACGCTCTCTCTCTAAAGTCTAACACTATTCTTATCAATCTCTCATCGAACACAGGTTCTTGCTCTGTGTGTTAAATAAGTTTGTTCATTTGAATCGGTTCATTTGAATCATTTCAATACATCAGATATGCATAAATATTGACAATTTCATTTTTCTCCTCAGCCATGCATTAAAGTTGCACTTGAATTTGTCTCGCCTGAAAATGTTGGTGAGTGCATTCGGTTGACCGATGAGTTCCGCACACTTCCAAAAAATCACAGGGCTAAAGAGGACAAATTGGAGGTATGTCGTCCTTTGTAGATATATAAGTTTGGTTTGTCACACCAAATTGTACATCACTCGTTCTAATTTGAGTTTTGGGTGGATTTTTCTTTATCCGCTGGGTTGGCATGAATTGTTCAATCATTGTGCCTAGAGCTTCCCCTTTTTTATGTACTTTTTGCATTCATTTGGGTGGTTCATTTTTTGGTGTCAATTCAAGATCCTTTTTACCTGAGCGTGTGCCTGTTCAACTAGTATTTCCTTTTCCATGTTCTCTTAGAGGTATTTTATAGAGACAATACCTAATTAGGCGATCATTAACGTTAAACAATTCGGGTTCGGACAAGGGTTTGTGGTGGAGACATGAGAATATCTGATGTGAAAGAATTCTTTTTATTGAGGCCTTACTGTTCTGCTCTTGAAACAGGTAAAGAAAATGATTTTGCATTCTGTCCATCAGGTTGTGGAGAAGTTGGATACAAATATGAGGTTAGTCAATTAGTATAATGGATTTTCTTGGATGGATTAATGGATGAACAAATCTGAATATAGGTTTACGTCCTAACTTGTTTCACCTGTTTGGATTTTGGTTTTGATGTTCCGCGGCATCAGACATGGATTGGGAAATGAAGCTGTAGAAAGACCAAAAAAAGGAGAGAAGAGGAGGAAGTCGAAGCTGTTGACAAGAAGGCCACGGAAGGAAGGGGTGAAGAATAGGAGGTCCAAAGTTGTTGAGGAGCAGCATTCACTGCGCCCTCTTGAACAATGCAGAAATTTACGTGCATGGAGAGAGGAAGAATCTTCCGGACAACAAGAAAGAATGGAAAACGAGGAGGTTCAAGTTGTAGAGGAGCGTTCACTGCCCCCTATTGAACAATGCAGAAATGTGGATGCATGGAGAGAGGAAGAATCTTCCAGACAACAAGAAGGAATGGAAATTGAGGTTCAAGTTGTTTTGGAGCAGCAGTCTTCACAGCCACCTGTTGAACTAGGTAGAATTGAACATGCATGCAGAAGGGAAGAAGTTGGAGGACAGACAGAAGGAAGTGGTGATGAGGAAGTGGCCCACGGATCCGAGGAGCAGCGATTCTTACTTCCTGCGCTGCCCCCTCTTGAACAATGCATAAATGTGCATGAGGAAGAATCTTCCGGACAACAAAAAGGAATGGAAATGGAGGAGGTTCAAGTTGTTGAGGAGCAGCGTGCAATACCCCCTCTTGAACAATGCAGAAATGTGCATGCATGGAGAGAGGAAGAATCTTCCGGACAACAAGAAGGAATGGAAATTGAGGAGGTTCAAGTTGTTTTGGAGCAGCACACTTCACAGCCACCTGTTGAACTAGGTAGAATAGAAAAGGCATGCAGAAGGGAAGAAGCTGGAGGACAGACAGAAGGAAGTGGTGATGAGGAAGAGGCGCAAGGATCCGAGGAGCAGCGATTCTTACTTCCTGCACATTCCACTGTTCAAGAGCGAAGCATTGGACATGCATGGAGAGAGCTAGAAGGTGGAGGACAACAACAAAAAGGAAGGGCAAAAGGGGAAGAGTCAGTTGCGAAGAAGCCTCCACAATCATCACAGTCTGAAGAAGAGGATGATGTGATTATTGTGGAGAAGCCTCCACAATCATCAGAGTTTGCAGAAGGAGATGATGACGTGGTTATTGTGGAGAAGCCTTCACAATCATCACATTCTCGAGTCTCTAGACGCACTAATGTTGGTCTTGTTACAATGGTGAAGTATCTCGATAACCTCACTGAGCGCATTACACATTTTGAACAGACAACTGAACAGAGGGATAGAATACAGAATCCTGAATTCCAGCATATCCGTTCAGAGCTTTTGACTTTAGCTTCCCATCTTGGTTACACAACTCACCCGAGAGAGCCTGATATCCCACTACAATTGTCTCAGTCACCAAAAGAAGGCTGTCCGCCTCTCTTTGTTTACCGAAGAAGATCCACCGGGTAAAGATTTTTAGATTTAGGATTTGTTTCTTGTCTTGGATGATGCATACAAGCTTTGGATTAACGGACTTTCTGTGTTAGTGTAGTTAATTAAGCAGTGACTTATTATGTTGAGATCCACTGAACGATTACAGTTGATTATGGAATCAAAATTCTAGCTCTGTGCTGCGTATTTGACATTAGAATTGTCGGGTCAGGAGGAAGCCTTGGGCTCAAAGCTACTTCCATGTTTTGTTTCAGAGTTTTTTGCGAATAGTTTCTTCTTTTGAGGTTCCACTTTGGTGATGTAGATTTTGAGAACATAAATTTATACTATTGGAGTCCAATGGACTGCATAGTAAATACTCGGACAATTCTATTAGGACCTAACAATTTTCTTGTGAGACTTGACTTAGGGGGTGTATTTTATACAAAGTTTGATGGACTTTACTTGACTCTAGTGCATTCAACGTAGAATTTTAAGGAGTTAATAAAAATCACTTGTATTGAATAAACACTATTTATGACTTCTTAGAAGTCTGTGAAAATCTTGTCGTATTTAATTATGACTTTTTGTGAGTCTACAAAAAAGGGAATATATTCAAAATTTCATTTATTTTAAAGGATTTTGAAAGTCATGGGTTTTGATGGACTTTGAGTACTTTTATATGTAAGTTTTTTGTCATAGTAAATTCAACCTTTCCCCTAAGATTTTGATGTATTTCATATTTTATTAATTCTCTAATGATATACTCCACCCCTCATCTTAATGCAATGACTATTATTATTACCACTTTCACCACGAGGTCACCACCACCACCTTACCATGATCATCTCGACCCCCACCGCCTCCATTGTCATCATCGCTGCCACCATAGTTATTGCCATGAGCATTATCATCACTCCTACTATGACCACCACCTCTATCGCCACTACCACCGTCCCCATCCTTTTTTCCTCCACCACCCACACATCACCCCGCCAACACAATCACCGCCCATACTATTATTGCTGCCACTAATGAAATCAACTTTATTCTTACCATCTTGCTAACAATCACCATGCGAAACTTCTACGACCATCATTGCTAAGATCACTTTGTCATGGTCATGATCACCATTTCAATCATGAAAACTTAAAAATAATATTGCTTATTAATGAATTGGTCATTAAAAAGTCCAAGCCAATCCACACAACTCTAAAATTTATAAAAGTGAACTCTTTAGAATTCTACAAGAGTCTATCATTTAACTCATTTATTTTACACAAAAATATATTATTCAAAAGTCTATAAAATTTTATGAAGTTTATAATAGTATTATGAACCTATTTCTTGATCACAATTAGTGATGTATTAGCATATTAAATAATGAGTATTAGATAGTGATAAGTTATTGCCAGCTCGCAGTTTGTTTAAGTGGAGAGTTAGGTATGAGCTCATGTTTTGGATGTAAGGGAACGTATATAGTTTACAGAAAGAAATCAAAATACAAAAAAATATTGGAGCTTGCTCCTCCCTTCCTTCCCTCTTCCTCCTCTCTTCCTGCCCTCTTCCTCCATAGCCATTTCTGTGCTACTTGCAGGTTGAAATAGGGCATTGAGAATTGGGTCATATCAAATAGTCGGTGAAAGTCTATTAAATCCGTAAAAGTCCATCACTTTAAAAACTCAATAAAAGTCCATACAAATCTTAGCACACTAAACCAAGGTAAATGCGGAGGTCCATGTTACCCAAACATGAATTTACTATTAAGGACTAAAAAGACATTTACAAGAAGAAAAAAAAAAAAATTCTCATTAGAGCCAACATTTACTATTATGAACACATTACCCCCCAATTATCCTCTCCCTCACAACAATTTGGAGTATTGGCGTTGCTTCAAATGTGGGCATATGTCACGCCAACATTTAACGTATAACTACACAGTGAAATTGACGGAAGAGTTAGATTGGTGCAATTCAGAAGTCACGTCATGTAATATTTGAAAATTGAAACCGTGTGACTCATTTTACAAATGACCCAAACCTTGTGATGTAAAATGTGGTTTAACCCTTTTTTGCTGTTCTCCTTCTATATCTACTAGCTTTTCTACACATGCTCATTTGGGTGCAAAAGACCTTTTTATAAGAGTGCTGATAAGCCCACGCCCATTATCTTATTTCCTCACCCACATTTTGGTATAAATTTTAATGTCAATTTTACCCTCTTGTAAAATGACATGTAAGGACCAAAACAAAAATGTACCGCAGATTGCCAATTTCCTTATGCCCACTGCACATTGTCGGATTGCTCATTTCCTGATGTCATTTCACTATCTCTGTAAAAGAAAAAAAATCTTCTCTCTTTCAATTTAATTATTGTGCCTTTCTGGGATGAAATCCCATCTCTTGTAAACAAGTATTTCTACTTCTATTTTTTCTTTCTCCAAAACCCTAATTTCAGGGATCAAATCAAATACGAACCAACCGATCATATATCACCTATCACTGCTTCATAAGATCGACGGTTTCAAACTCTCTATCCTCCCAGCCCCTTCTTTGGTTCTAATCTCAACCCAAACCTCACCTCCCTTCTCTCTCATTTCCCTTCTTTCTAAAACTTTAAATACATAACCTACTCATTGAATTCCATTGCATTCTACAATACTTGAAATTCATAGGAAAAATAGAATATCTAGACTAAGCAAGGAATAAGAAGATAGGTGGTGAGGCAGTTTTGCTGCCATGGTGGTGTTTCGATGGTTGGGGGACCTGGGTTGGGTGTTGGGAGTTGGTGCGGCACTACAGCGGAGTAGGGGTGTCGGGGGCTGGAATCATATCAGGGTATTTTAGGAATGATTGTGGGTGAGAAAAGAGTGTTTTCTTCTTTTAACATTTTTGGTGGGTGAAAAAATAAAATAGGGTGGGAAGATAAGACAATAGGGTGGGCGTAGTACCGCTCTTTTATAATGTTCTATTTTCTTGTCCACAATTGTACTCAAGCATCTAGATACATATGTGTTAGTGGGAAGAAACACAACCCTATAAACCTCTCCGGATTCTCGTCCCTCTTTTTTTCCTCTCTTTCTCTCCCATCCTATTTGAACGGTCAGGATTAAGTCACGTCAACATTCTCTTAGTCCCTCCAATAAACCTGCCTTCAACCCCAAATGATTTGAGAAATAACGATACAACATTACCCAACAACTAAATAAGCATAAAACAACTAAGTTAGGGAAAATTTATCGCCATTTCAAACGAACTCCAAATCTACAAACAAAAATGCATTAAACAAAACCCGTTACCAAAATCCAATCAAAGTTTGTAAATTTAAACAAAACATCAAGTGTTGGAGCAAAAAACACACATGTGTGGCTATGAGAGCTGCAGCTTCAGGGCGATTGAGGCTCAACCCAGGAGCAAGACACAAAAGTTTTCTGGAAATGTTTCCCAATCGTATGATATGTGAATTAATAAAAAAAATACTTTCTATTAAACTTCCAACAAATTTGAGAAAAACCCATTTACTCAAATCCCATAATCCATATGAACTAAGAAACTCGAAATTTTACCAGAAAAAAAAAATTACATAAAAACAGTAATATTAAAAGTGTCCAATAAGTAAGAGAGCTTAGGCCATCTCCAACCATTGGCTGGCCAGATGGCTCGTTTTAGCCCTCTGGCCCTCCAAGATTCTCCAAGATATTAATATTTTAATGAACAGTACAGGGCCATATTTGCCTCCGTCTCCAACCGATGGCCAGAGGGCCAGAGGGCTCGTTTAGCCCTGTCAAAAAAAACTGTCTCCAACCGAGGGCCAAAGAGCCATAGGGCCAAACATAATTTATTATTTAAAAACTACAACTTAATTTTATTTAAAAATCATGTTGGTTAGTGTTGTATAATTTTTATGTCGGTTAATGTTATTTAATGTTGTTTCATATTGTTTAATGTTGTTTCATGTTACTTAATTTAATTTAATGTTGTATAATGGCTTAGGAAGTTATAGGAAAAAATTAGAATTTAAAAAAAATATGAAACAAATTTTGTGAAATAGAAGTTCTAGGAAAAATGGAATTTTAAAAAAAAATATGAAACAAATTTTGTAAAATAGAAGTTATATGAAAAAAATATGAACCAAATTTTGTAAAATATAAGTTATAGGAAAAAAATAGAATTAAAAAAAATTGAAACAAATTTTGTAAAATAGAAGTTATAGGAAGTTATAGAAAAAAAAAAGAAAAAAAAAGGTTTAAATTCATAAAAAAAAAAGGTTTAAATTCATAAAAAAAAAGGATTTACAACGGCTAGTGGCGCTAGCCGTTGGAAGTTTGAATTCAAAATGTTATTTCTGTCGGTTGTAACCGACAGAAATCATATATATTATATTATTTCTGTCGGTTATAACCGACAGAAATAAGAAACATTAAAAAAAAAATAGCCAGCCCGGGGCTGGCTGGCTGGCCGAAAGCAGCCAGCCCTCTCTGATCCCGTGGGGCCCTCCCAGATTCCCGAGCCCTCTGGCCTAGCCCTCGGTTGGAGACGGTTTTAGGGCTATTTTCGGCCCTCTGGCCCTCTGGACCCTTCGGTTGGAGATGACCTTACGCCTCCTGCCAGGAACCATGCAGTGACACCATCAATTTAACCGTCGTATCCGATTTGCAACAAAACCCTACAAACATGAACCTAAAACATACTAGCTGATTATGAATTTTTGTTTAAATTTAAACTTAAATAATACCTAACGAAAATTAACTGTACAATGCACAATAAACGAATAAGATGTGATGATCTTTAGAACCCTCACAAAAAGAATTCGGAAACGATCCTCACCCGACCCAAAATGGGGTTTCGGCTTATTTTTAAGAGTAAATTGTACAAATGGTCCCTCAACTTTAATCAAATTGGAGCAATGGTCCCTTAACTAAAAATCCATTATCATTGGTCCCTCAACTTATCAAAATGTGTAGCTATAGTCATTTTCATCAATTTTATCAAAATTTTGTTAAAATAAGCTATGTTGGAATGACCATTTATATAATTAGGGTCCATCAACTCATCAAAGTGTATAATTATGGTTCTTTTCGTCAACTATGTCAAAAAATTTGTCAAAATGAGTTATATTGTAAGGATCATTGCTACAATTGGATTAAAGTTAAAGGATCATTTCTCTACTTGAATTAAAGTTCAGGGACTAATGGTAATGGATTTTTAGTTGAGGGACCATAGATGCATGTTTTGATAAGTTGAAGACCAAAGGTAATGAATTTTTAGTTAAGGGATCATTGCTCCAATTGAGTTAAAGTTAAGGGACCATAACTACAATTTACTCTATTTTTAAATTCTTTTTTACTTACTAGACAATCGTAATAGCCCAAAAACCTTTTGAGCTAGGCCCGCTGTCATGGCGGAGCAAGTCAACAAAGAGAGTGCTCCTCAAGAAAACCTCCGCCTTCTCCGTCGCTTCCTCCTCCACGACGACAATGACAAATTCCGATTCTTTAACCGACAAAGACACTCAAAATTGGACATCCGAAAGAGGGCAGGAGCCAAACATTTCGAAAGAGCAAAGCCGCAATAAGAAGAAGAAGAGGCAGAGGAATAATGATCACAGCTACGGCGGCAAGCACCCGAACTACCGCGGCGTGTGGTTGCGCCGGAGGACCAAATGGGTGTCGGAAATCAGCGATAAGGGGAAGAAATTCAGAATATGGTTAGGGACATACCCAAAAGCTGAAATGGCAGCTAGAGCTTACGATGCGGCAGCTCTAGCCCTCCAAGGTGCTTCTGCTTCTCTCAATTTCCCTGAATTGGCAAAATCACTTCCCAAACCAGAATCCCTGTCTCCATCGAGCATCCAGGCTGCCGCTGCTAAGGCAGCAGCAGAAGCAGAAGCAGAAACAGCTTTTGGGAAAAAGCAGATTCTATGGGAAGCAGTGACTGAAGAAGCAAAAGCCAGCAGCATAGATCAAGACCCAACTAGTACTATTGCTTCAACTGATTGTGATGCTGAGAAATTGGTTTCCAATGCAGCTGGTAATTAATTGCTCATTAATTGGTAGGGTTTTAGATAAACCCCTTATTCCATTTCTCAAAACTAGAGTTTCAACACTTTGATTCCAATTTCGAAATTTCGGAGTTCCAATATACAATTCTGATTTTTTTTTTTTTTTTTTGCAAGCAAAAAAGTACCTTTCTGTTTTTACAGTTTCAAATGATTCAGAAACCTTTGGATTTTAGATAAATAAATAAAATTGAAGTACTAAGGTACAGATTAGAGTCATGGTGATCCCTTTGATTCATTTAAGCTTGTCTTAAAGGCGAATTTGTTTTTTTCTTGGTTCGAAGTATAGCCCTATGAGTTTGTGGACCATATACTTTTTGCACTGCAGATCCGGTAGACGGATCTGGATGCACCTGTTGGAAGTGTTTGGCCTTGTTTGGATGTTTGCTAGAAGCGTTTTTTGGTGAGGATGAATGCTTTTTCGATGCTATGTGCTGATGAATGCACTTGCTTAGAAGCTTTAGAAAATTAGGGGAGACAATATTTACATATTTCCTGCCAGTGAGACTCTCCATGAGTATGGTGTTTGGGGGTGGGGTGAATATATTGTTTGAGTCTTTGTGATGTACTGTATTGCCTCTCTTGTGGTGTATCTGGTGAAGAAGGTACAAGATTCGTTGGCAAGGAGGAGGAGCTGTAGGATTATTGTTACCTTTTGTTTACAGTTGCAAATTGTGTTCCATTTGGTATAGGAAAGCTACTGATATGTTTTTGTTTGTGTGATTTGTTTCTTTAAACTCTTTTAGAATCCTTCAAAATCTCAATCGAATACATTCCCATAAATTCAGAGGACTGTACATCCGAAAAATGGAGAGAGCCAAACAATGCGGAAGAGCAAAGCATCAAAAAGAAGAAGAAGAGGCAGAGGACTAGTACTTGTACTAGTGATGATCATCACTGTGAGGGCAGCAACCACCAGAAGTACCGTGGTGTCAGATGGCGCAAAAATGGCAAATGGGGGTCGGTAATCAGCCAGAAAGGGAAAAAATTATGGCTAGGGTCATTCCCAACAGCTGAAATGGCAGCTCGAGCTTATGATGCAGCAGCTCTAGCCCTCAAAGGTGCTTCTGCTGATCTCAATTTCCCTGAATTAGCGCAAGCACTTCCCCAATCAGATTCCCCGTCTCCAATGGACATTCAGGCTGCAGCTTCTGCTTCTGAGGAAATGCAGATTGTATGTGAAGCAGTGACTGAAGAAGCAGATCCCAGGGGAAAAGCTAATCTTCCCATGTCACTGAATTCAAATAATGCTCAAGAATCAACTAGTACTTGTGCTTCAACTGCAGAAGGTAATTAGTTGCTCATTAATTGGTTAGGGTTTAGATACTGAGCTTGGAGTAAGACAGAATTAGAGTAGGCTTTCAGATAAAACCCTAATTCTCATTTCTCAAAATTAGGGTCGAATTTGAGATCGATGAGATCAGAATAGCAGCTTTCGACCACCCTATCAAACTTACAAAGACACTTTGAATCCAATTGCGAAATTGTAGAGTTCCAATACACCTTTCTTATTTTTTGACAAAAATATCGCACCTCTCTGATCTTACAGTTTTGGACTTTCAAATGAGTCTGAAAACTTTGGATTTAGATACAACAACAACAAAGCCTTTTCCCACTAAGTGGGTCGGCTAAAAACTTTGGATTTAGATAAATAAATAAAGTTAAAGTACTAAGGCACGCATTAAAGTCAAGTGGATCCCTTTTCTTTTGTAGGCTATTTATCCCACTCTGATGAGACCTTTATGTAGTTGAAGTCAAATTTATAATCCATCTAGGCTACGAATAATTTATATTCACCTGTTTTAATTTCTGCAGGATGTGCACACCAAGTGAAGAACTTGGAGGTAAAACGTTAGATGATTATAGATTTCTAGTTGTTCTAGTTTTTTTTTTTTTTTTTTAATTTTTTAGAGCTCGTTTGGAATTGCTTTTGGAACCCAAATTTTTTTTTCGCCAAAAGCGCTTCCAGTTATTTTAAAAGCACTTCCAAACGAGCCCTTAATTCATGTTTACTTTTGCTTTACTAGATGATTACCACCGCGAAACAACTTGCCTCCAACATCTATACCGCTTTCCTGTTTTAACTCATGTTTATTTTTGCTTTGCTAGATTGATTATAGATTTGTAGCTGTCCTAGCATTTTCTCCAAACTAAATTATACATTTATTGTCTGTTTGAATTATAATTTTCTTTTTGTATGTTTAATAGTTTTACATTTAGATTTTAGGTTGATTCTGTTCTAAAAACGCCTTTGTATTTTCATTTTTCCTTATTTGTTCTTCTTTTCCAACTTAATGTGATGTTCCATCGTATAAGATAAAGTGCCGTTGTCTAGTTAGTTTACAGAAGCAGCTGACTAGCACGAGTGGCATTAAAAATGTGTCTTCGGTGTCAAATAAAGCTGACAATGTATTTAATCTTTTCATGCATAAATTTTTAAATTTTTCTCGTATAAAAACATCCATATTTAAGATATAGAAAAGGATGAATAGTTCTGTTCTTATTTGAAAAAAAAAAAAAGAAGGAACAAATAGAGAAAAGGATAATACTGCAAGTCATGGAACCTTCATTTGAAATTTGTTATTTAACTGCCGATATTAAACTTATCGGCAATTATCACTCTTTTTTTGTCTTAAATAGGGGTTTAGGATGAGTGAACTCTTGCTTTCTCCTTATGTTGTTGTCAAGGGCTTGTCAAAGACGGAGGCAATAGTGGAAACAGTTGAGTTGGGTTTAAGTAGTTATTGTGTGCCTTATGTGGTGCTTCAACCGGATAATCCATATTTTTGTTTTTTTTTTGCTCACCGATGCATTTTGTGCAAAGGTGGTGCAGAAAATATTGACCATATGTTTCTTCATTGCCCATTGGCTTGTAGATTGTGGTATAATCTACTTCAAGTTGCCAGGTTAAAGTTGGTGCTGCCCCTTTCATGCAATTCAATTTTTTTTTCGTTGCTGAGAGTTTCTGCAGTGTGTTAACAGCAGCAGTATTTGGGTTATTTCGATTGAAAGGAAGAAGCAAAATTTTTAGGCCAATGTGGGATAAAGTTGGATTTTGGACTTCACTTTGGATATGGGTTTCTCGTTCACTTTTTTTTTTCGGGTTTTCCATGTTGATATGTTTGAGTGTTTTCTTTCAATGTGGATTCCATAGTAATGTACTCATTACTTGTTATTTTATGAATAACAGTTGAATTATCTTGATATGGACAAAGCTTTTGAATCCATCTTCCCTTCTTGGTTGTCCAACTCACCTGAGAGAGCCTGACATCTCAGCATCATCGCCTCGGCCGCCACTAGAAGATGGTCCATTCTCCTTGTTTACCGAAAAAGATCCACCGGACCACTACCCAGTAAAGTTTAGATTTTAGGATTTGTTTCTCGTCTTTGAGGATGTATGTATATAAGCTTTGGATGAATGGTTCACTCTTTGTGGTAGTCTACTTAACCAGTAGCAAATTATGTTTTCTGTTTGTAAGATTAACTGACTGGTTACGCGTACTAGATCACCTTCTTCTCAACCCAAATCGCCCGTTTGGAAGCCTCCGGATGAGGCATTGATCGTCATTGTATGATTAGTCTGCGATTCTCCTCATCCCATTTCAGTCTCGATTTCCTCATCCTGCTAATCTTCTTGTCTTTGATTTCAACATCTTTGATTTCCTCATCCCGTTTCAGTCCCGTTTCAGTCTCCCTCCATCATCTTCATCTTTTGGCTCCCTCATCTTTCCACCTATCCTTAATTCGGATCCGCCACAGCATGTGTTCGTCTGCATTTGTCGCGGATCCATGGGCGGTCGTTGTGGTGTTACTTGGAGGATAATGCGGCTTTTGCTGGTGTGATCTCAGGCGTTCGTGGGAGGCGACATATTGTTTTGAATCTGATCGTCTGTGGAGTTCAGGTGGCGGTAGTGGTAACTGTAGGGGGGCTGTAGATTACTTGGGGTTTTTCTGTTTTGTTTTCTGTAGATTCCAAATTCAAATCATGGACCATAAATATGAATTCATCCTTTTAAATCTTCAGCTTTGATCAAATATTTGATCATGAGTTTGATTTTTGGTTAAATAAAATACGTTTAGAATTAATCAAAGGAAAACTAATGAAAAGAATTTGGAAACTTGCAGTTTTAATCAAAATGACAAAAATGTTTTGTACGTGAATAGTATCATAAGTGATTTTTAGAGTAAAAATGTCATTTTCGTTAAAAAATAAATAGTGCCGGGAGTGTTTCTTTAAAACTCTGAATAATCAAGTCCTTTCAAAAAATGGATCTCTATTTTTATTTTTATTTTTTTAAATGGGGATTAGTTGTGAGACATATTCCATGTCAAACTTCAACAATTCGAATCATCTATTCATAGATTGTTATTACAAAAAGTTCAATTCAATTCGCAACCATTTACCTATTTAATTGTCATGATGATATTTAAGATTTTTTAAAATATAGTGTTTGTCGATTACTTTGAACTCAATTAGATGTCTAAAAATTTTCCGATTTAGCTAATATTTTGCAAGTATGATTTATGAGATGCAATTTGAAAAATAAACAGTTTGGATTATTGAAGTTCGATGTGATGTCCATCCCACAACTAATCCTCTTTTTTTTTTTTTTTTTTTTAATGAGATCCCTCCCTTAAAAGGCTTTGTAAAATTAATTATGTGTGTGTATATATTATTACATATTAATATTTTTTTAATTATCGAATCCTCGCCGTTCTCAAATCAGGATTCTTTGAGTTTTCACGCATTCCCAAACCTCGTGCTTCCCGAATATCTGCTCCCATTCCCATACTCGTGCTTCTTAGCTGAACTAGGTTTCAAAGAAAGCCTGATAACTGAACTCTCTATATCCAACCAAAAAAACTCAAAATCCTAAAGCATTACAAATAAAATATATGCATAAATTTGGTTCATGTCGATAATAATTTCATATTTCGGCATAGATTAATAGACATTTCTTTTTAAGAAATTTGAAAATTACTTTTACGTTCGTTTCAAAGAACATTTTTTTATTTGGAATTCCTTGATCCTTTTAGTGTAAATTGCCCTGAGTCAATTGAAATAATTCTTCTATACGACTAAAGTTAATAAAAACAAAAAAAAAATTCTCTAACTAAGGGCCAATACCACTTTCTTGAATTCTTCTTTATTGACTTCTCCTTAAAAGCATAAAATGTTAATTGAGAACAAATTACACCATTCCTTGCTAAATAGTTGCACATATTGCTTTGCTTATTCATGTTTGGTGGATTGGAAGTAGACTTGGCATTTGTGTCATGTTTTCTGTGTTCATGTCGTTTTCGTAACTTACTTGATATCTCAACGGGTCAAATCGTGTCGTGTAACACCCGTTAAAGTAAACAGGTAATATGACCTGACTCAAAATCGACATATTAATATTATCAAGTAATATGATCTGACTCGTTACTCGTTAAAGTAAATATATTTTAAATCAATAAATAATGGAAATCTAAAAAATGAAATTTGGTGAATAAAATAAAGCGTAAACTACAATCGACGGTCAAATTCAAATCTAAGGTTTATGAATTATGGTGTCAGATTTTGGAAGGTTTTAAAAATCTAAACAACCATGTAACCATCATCTAAGCGTAGATGATACAATCACGAGGCTTTATGCTTTCATATTTTTTAGACTTGTACATTAATAATTATGATTTTTTTTTTTGTTTTGAACTCCTTTAAAATACTATTTATGAGGGTTTGTATAGTTTTAAAAATTCCAACAACAATATATTCATCCTCAAAGCGTAGAGGATGCGATCTCGAGCATTTGCATATTTTTTCATATTTTTGGCACTTGTAAATTAATTATTATAATTTTTTAATGTGTTTGGTATTTTTAAATTACTTGATATTTTTATTTTTAATGTGTTTTATGTTTTTTAATGTCACTCTTTGCCTATAGTATACTATAAAAATAAATAAATAAATAAAACTTACATTTTTTTAATTTATATAGAATAATAATACAATAATACATATTTAATATACAATATATACATACACGCTCTGGCTATTGTACTTTATATTAAGTATTTTTTAGTAGTTTAAAATTTAAAATCATCAAAATAACTTTTTTCTTAACGTGTCGAAACGGATTACCCGCAAGTTACTCTCGTGTAAACTTGTTAAGGATTCATTGTTACATGTTCTTATTGATCCAATTAGTTAACATGTTGACACGAAACCTGTTATTTTCATGTCATTAATATATCGTGTTAATGGATCGTATAAGAAATTGTCAAATCTAATTATAAGAGTACCTTGAGTTACTGTGGAAATTAAGGTAATTCCTTGTTTGGTGTCCCTTTAAGCAGAGCTCGCTTTGGGGAGGTGTGAGAGGTTCTATGGCACAGGCCCCCATAATAGTTTTCTATCTCATATAATAATATATAAAATAATATTAAATATAGAAATAACATATAAAAAGCTAATTAGAGCAAAAAAAATATATATAAAAATGTTAGCAGAGCCCACAAACCACAAGCCTACACATATTATAAAGCAATAGAAAAGGTAATGAGTTAAATACAGAAAAGAAGTCAGAGTCAAACCAAAATGGTTATCAATTTTCGGTTATCAATTAAGGGATGGTTTGGGAGTGAGCTGCTATGAGAATAAGCTGAAATTAAAGGAAAAAAGCTGAAGCTGTTATTTGCAATTTTGGAAAACTAGTTTTTTTTCAAAGCATACGGAGCTACAGTGCTCCTTTAATGAAAAGATCCACTATTAGACTGTTTTTTTTTTCCAAAAGCACTTTTACAAAAAAGTTTACAAAATCCTCTGCTGATTTATTTCACAGCCGCTTATTCTCACAATAGTTTTTTTTTCAAAGCACAGCACTACCAAACCAGCCCTAAGAGTTAGAATCCACTTTTCTCTCTCACGCCAGACGCCAACACCCCTCACGCTGCGCTCATGTATCTCCCTTCTCCACTATTCTTTATCCCACAAAGTTACAAACCATTAAACCCTGATTCATAATTTCATGCAATTAAAAAGAAATTTTTATCACTGAGACTTCAAGTGATTGGAGACTTAGAGTGATGCAGACTTTGATTAAAGTAAGATATTTACTAATTTAAATACTAAGTTGGAATTTGAAGATTTAGATATTTCTCGTTTATAATGATTTTTTTTCTTTGTACTTTTTATTCATAATTTTATGCAATTGAAGATAAATTTTCATATCACGGAAACAATTCAAGTGATCAAAGTGATACATACTTTGATTAAAGTAAGATATTTACTAATTTAAATATCTTGAGTTGGAATTTGAAAATTTAGGTATTTCTCATCTATAATAAATTTTTTTCTTTTGAACTTTCCAGAGAAAAACTCAGGAATTAATCAAGTAATCGTCACAACAAGAAATGAGCAGCCATAAAAAAATCACTAGACGCATAGGCGTTGCGGCTATCAGGTTTCATTGTTCATATTTACTATAATTTAATTGTGATCTTGTTTGAGATATAAAATATGACACCTACTAGAAAATAACCATTTGGCTACTTAAAGTGCCAAAGAAAAAGAAAAGTTGAACAACTGACTCAATCTAAAAAATGAGCTATTGATAGGTTCTTTGTTAAAGAAAAAGAAGCACAAAATTTGTTCGGTAGATATTTTTAGCATCAATACATTCAATACATTGTTCAAAAAATTTTTTTTTTGAAGATTGTCTTATAAGAAGGGCCCCTATTACAAATGTCGCACAGGACATCCGAAATCTCAAAGACGGTCCTGTCTTTTAAGTATGGAGAAAGATTTATATGATCCAAGTGTATTGTTATAATAGAGTCTCGTGCTAATAATAAAAAATATATATTTTTTTACTGCCACGGGACGTTATCATGTTGGTGAACATGTGTCATTCAAGTTTATCTCTCAAATATGAATACACGAATCATGCAATTAAACTTAATGATCAATTAGGGCTGATTTGGTGGCTCGATCGTATCTTCCAGTCAAGCAATGTCTCAGAAAGTAAGTTGGCATCTAGAAGACCTGAGCAAGGTTGACATTTACGACATTGCTTTCCTCGTGTCGTATTTTTTTTCATTTTAAAATGAAATCCCATTTAACTTCATTTGATATTTGAGGAAATTAGATATGGCAAATCTCATACCACCTTCTATTGATAGCATGTATCACAACCTACAACCTGTTAGAAATTTAATTCAAAATGAATTAAATTTTATGTGTATGAAAATTATATTTGATGAATTGTGACTATTTGTGAATAAGTTTGTGACTGGGTGTGTTGAGAGTGAATTCCACATCGAAAAAAAGATAGAAATTGTATGTGCTAATAAGTAATTGGGTTACTCTCCATACTGTCAATTGGTTTTATGGTGGAACCTTAACTTTCTTCAGGGTGCAACCTTTTCCTTTTAATTGAAAAGATGTAGCTATTGATTAAAGAGTTCTTGAAGAGTCACTTCTACATTTATATAAAAACCTCATCATATTGAGTCAAAAGTCAATTAAATATGTGGAATCATACAAGTTCATATGAGTCATATCATGCTTAGAGATTAAGTGAATC